GGATCCCAACACCACACACACACACACACACACACACACACACACACACACACACACACACACGGCAGGAGTCTGAGTGCCCCTCTCAGGGAGATGTCTTCGAAGGATCCCAACACCTGGCCCTGGGCGGGAAGCTCCATTTGTCCACTTTATGGGCGGGAACCTGGGACCCGTGGGAGAGGGCCCACTCTCACCCGTCAGTGGCCAAGGTTAGGGTCAAAGGCTGGTCTAGACTCCGGATTCCCTGGGCGCCTCCCCGGCTATCTCTGGCCAAGAACGAGTCCACCCTACAGCCCCGGCCCTGCGGAGGGGGGCGAGTCCCCCCCCCACGACGAGGAGACCAACTCAGAACTGAGGGAGTCACAACACCTGAAGCCAGGCGGAGCTGTGACGCGAACAAAGGTCGGAGGGGTCTCTCCGCCGCCCCCAGACCCTTCCTCAAGGACTCAATGGAGCAAGAAATCCCCCGACTGCTGCCCACAAGGACGCAGCGGGGCCTCCGTGGAGAAGCAAGCCTGACTGGCCTCTGCTTCCACTTCAGTCTCCAGCCTGCCACCCCCCAAGTGCCTGGGCACCACCACACTCGCCCAGCTTACAGCCAACTCCTGCTTATCCTTCAAAACCCAGCCTGCATTGTCCCCACCAAGCTCCCTAACCACCACCCCACCTAGTGAGTGGCCTGTCCCCTCCCCAGGCCATGAACTCCCGAGGGGGGCCAGTGCTCCACTTCTGTTGGGTGAGCCTGGGGTAGTATTCAGGGTCACTGGTAGCTGCATTAGGCCGGAAGGGACAACTCAGAGGGCTGGGGAGTCTAATGGGCAGGACAGTTCTCAGCTGGGAACGGGATGATCCCAAGTCCCATTCAAATGAGCGTCAAATCCCTGATGTTTCGACCTCCATCAGGACACCCCCAGGGAGCCCCCCAGCTGATTCTCACTCATCCAACAAGCCCACCGAACCCACTAGCACCACAGGACAGAACAGGTCTGCCCCTGTGGGATTCCAGACTGTGGATCTTTACGGAACAGCCAGCTCCTCTTTCTCCCTCAGAGAGGCTGATGAGTTTCAACCGCCACCCTTGCGGTTAGCAGGCCAGCACCAAACTCACATTGCCAAAGCATGCCTCCTCCACCGTATTTAAGATGAAAACACCCCCCTGCCACCGAGGCGAACTCAATTCACAGCAACGCTGTGAGACAGAGCAGGGGGTGCTGTCTCTGAAGGGCCTGGTGGCAACCAGGGTTCCCTGGGGTCATCGGAGCAGGGGGTTGACGCTGGCCCTGCATCTCAGGAGGAATGGGGGCTGCTGAGCCCCTGGCAGGGCCCCTGCATCCCTGCTCCTGAAGACACGCAGGTCACACCCCTCTGCAGGGCCATCAGGAACTGAGCGGGATAGGCCCCACCTCCCAGGCCAGATGGGTGGGGCAGAGCAAACTCACAGCAAGTGCCAGGACACCACCCC